GGATTGGATTGGAGAGAGTAGGGCTGGAGTGACCCATGTGGAGGTTGCTGTCAGACCCTGACTAGTACTTAAAAGGTTTAAAAATATTGAAATATCCCTGGATTGTTTTAGTGTCTAGAATGGATACTTTTCCAGTTGTTCCTCTTATCTGTGTGGTTAACCCCTACTTCTGCCGTAGTCACCTCTGTGAAGCCTTCCTCAGCCCTTCTCTCTGGCTGGGTCATCATATTCCTTCTCTCTTCCCATACCCCTCGGCTCCCTTTCATCCACAACCCTGTTGACATAGAACTGGGAATAGGGCTGTGGGAGGGCAAGTGGTTTCTGGTCCCTGAGGGTAAAGGACTTCAGCCAAGATCCCTGACGAAGACCCGTCGCTAGTTCACCCTCCCTACATAATTCTCACAGTTGCTGCTCTTTACACAGTGTCCAGAGAGCCCTGCTTCAAACACCCTCCTCTAGGAGGCTGAGGAGCCAAACAAAGACGACTGCCAGGCGTTGTTCTCATAGAGCCAGGGTAAGTGCCCTACCCGCTGATCACAACAGGGCTCTGGTTGCCTTCGGGGGCTCTTGAGTTATAGCTCTGCTCTGGAGCCCACCTTGAGGGACTGTCAAGGCAAAGGAACAAACTGATTGCTTGATGCTTTTACCCAAAGTCTATTGACAGATTGGCCCATGTTCAAGCCAGTGGACACCTGGAGGAACAGACACCCCGGACTCTGCTGAAGAACATCTTACTAACTGGTGAGTGAGCACTGGCCTGCAGTGAGAATCAGGCACCAGCCCTGTGGTATCTCTCATTTAGGGCAGCCTGCCCTGCCAACTCCACTCTCTCCTTGCTATTTCTACAGCCCCGGAATCTTCCATCCTAATGCCAGAGTCAGTGGTGAAGCCAGTGCTGGCACCGCAGGTGGTCCAGGCTTCCAGACGGGAAAGCGGTCGGGGCAGGTGCAGTAAATTCCCTCCTTGGGCTAGGCTGCTGGGCATTACTAGTCAGGGAGCCTCTTGGGGCTCTAAGAGCCGGAGTTGGGTGTCCTGGCTTGTCTGAGAAAAGCTCCATCCTTGTAGCCTGGAGCTGCAGCTTCCTGAACTTGAGCTCCCCACAACCCTGGCTCCAGGTCTGCTGGCTCTTGGCAGAAGGAAGCAGAGGCTGAGGTTGTCAGTGTTTCAGCAAGGAGTGGACTTGGGACTGCCTCCCTCCCAAGGTGAGGTCCTGGACAACACCTGTGGCCACCCTCTCTGTCCTCTGGAGAGACTGAGGAGGCCTGAGAGAGGCCTGGGTAACTTATTATGGTTTCTTTTTACATCCTCTTGCAGAGCCTCATGGGAATGCTGATGCCTCTTCCCTCACCAGGTGCTGTTGCCTGTTCCGGGAGTTGGTGGAGGAGAGGCTTGGGGAAGGGGGTGCTGAATAGAATGCAATCTGGCCATAACTGCTCCATGCTCACAGCATGGTGGCTGGGTTCTAAGAGATGAGAGCGCCGGGGCAGCTGGGGGACTCCGGGGGTGGGGGAGGGTGGTTGGACCTCAGGTACCTGACTTTCCTTTGTGCCTTGTCCCTCCCATCAGCTCCCTCAACTTGACCTTCGCCACACCTCTGCAGCCACAATCAGCGAAGAGGCCTGGTTTGGCCCGCAGACCTCCTACCCACCGAGCTGTAGATGTGGGTACATTTTTGCAGGATCTGCGAGATACTTCCCTGGCCTTGGCTCCTCCAGGTAAGGTTGAGATTTCTGTCTTCTGGCCTGTGGGGAAAGCTTTCCCCCCATGATTGATGGGAGGTGCTGCTGAGTCCAAGGTTGCTCCTCTCTCCTTTGAGTCAAGAACAGTGAGCAAGCCTGGCCAGTAGGTTTATGAGGACTTTCTGCTTTCTTTCTGCAAATTGCCTCTTGTCTTGCGGGGGCCCAGTCTTAGTCCCTCAGTATCTTCCAGGACCCCATATCCTTGAAGAGCTACAGGACTGAGGGTAGGAAAGGGGTGTGATATGGTGGCTGGAGCTTATTGAGAGGTTGAAAGGGGCTAGGTTTCAGGATCAGCTGTTCAGTCAGAGCTGACCTGGGAGCCTGATTCCAAAAGACAAGTCATGTTCACCAGGATAAGAGAAGGGTTGCAGGCAGAGGGACCTGAATGAGAAGTGGAGAATGGAGGCATGGGTGAGCAGATTGGGTGGGGCAACCTGTGGATCCTGGGAATGCCAGGCTAAGGAGCAGGAAGGTAAGCAAGGAGAGCTGTGGAAGGGAGATTAGGCTTAGAATAGGCTTAGTCTTCTCTCTCTGAGGGCCACTTGAGCAGGCTTGTGGGTCCACTACCCAGGCCCTGGTGACTGGCTAGCAGAGCAGCAGGTGGGCGTGCAAAACACTGAGTGCCAACTGGACCTTGATCTCCAGATGAGAGCCTCAGAACCCCTGTTGCTACTCTGCCAACAGACACAGTGTTGGAGGACACCCAGCCCTTCTCCCAGCCCTTGGTTGGCTGTTCCCCCAGTGTGCACCACTCCTTGCCTTGCCGCTCTCACTCTGGGGCTAAAGATGTGGAGAGGGCTGCCAGTCGCAGTACATGGAGCAGTGGGCTTGGGCTGCAGAACAACGGTGAGTATGTGGGGCACGCAACCTAGAGCCAAGCCTAGCTTAAGCAAGAATTGGCATTGGTGTTTTTTCCTCCTCAGGCCCATATGTGTACCCCCTCACCCCCGAGTCCCTTTGGAGGGCTGTTGATCCCTCCATCCAAAAGCAGAGTCAGTGTTGGGCCAGGAGATTCCAAACCAGTACCCTGGGGCTGCCTCTGGCCCTCTTCCCTCCTTGATGGGCTAGGCTGGGTTTTACTATTCCATCTTTACCTTTCTCAGAGCTACAGCCCTGGCCTACTGCTTTTCTAGCCTATATTCTCTCCCCTTGATTCAGGTGCTGGGAAACCAGCCCAGCTTCTGGCAGGAAAGGTGGAGGAGGTTGATGCCCTTGGTATGGGCTTTCCGAACATCAGCAGTAATATCTCTGGAGAAGATGGAATAGAGCCCTTACAGAATGGAGTAGGTGAGGAGGCAGAGGAAAGAATGGAAGAAAGCTTGAGGGAAGTGGAGAAGGCAGCAGAAGCACAAGGATCCGCCAGAGCAGAAGAGCTTGAAGCACACATAGAAGTGACCGAAGCAGAGGGATCCTGGGGGGCTGTCGAGGCCAAGGAGCCAGAAGGATCTTCAGGGGATGAAGACACCTCTGGTAGAACAGGTAAGGGGCCCAGTGCAGGGATCAGGGGGTGGGTGGGTAAGGGACAGCTGTGTCCCTGGCCTTGGAGGAGGGGCTTACCTGGCTTGTGTTTCTGGGCACAGGTGGTCTTGGGCCAGGGAAACTCTGAAAGGCCCCTTGCTTGGCTGGAGCTAGATGGAGCCCTCGAGGAACAGGATAAGGAGGCTGTGGGCCTTCAGGGTTGAGTGAGATGGTCAGGCCTGTGCCCTCTGTAACCCTGCCCTTCCTCTGCAGCAAGTCCAGAGTTGGCCTCCAGCACCCCAGAGTTCCTTCGGGCCAGGCGACTTCAGTTTCTTGAGCCAGCTCCACCGCCTAGCACTGCAGTGTAAGATCCCACGACCCTGTTCCACATGGGCCTCTTGGAAGGTGGCAGGTACTGAGGTTGGCATTGGGTACCACAGAGTTATCACTCTTATCACTCTTCCTTTAGGTATGTAGATGATTACCCAGGACAGCACCCTAAGGTGGGCTGGATGGGGCCCACTCAGCACATCTGTCTGGTGCCTGCTTGCAGGGGCTTAGAGGAGCCTGGGCAGGGGGGAAGTGCCTAGGTTAGTATGCAGTCAGAGAAGGCTTCCTGGAGGAGGATTAGCAGAATGGGACAGGCAGCAGTGGGCTGAGTAGGGGGAATGTCCATGCCAAAGCCTGAGGATCATGGGCCTGAGTAAGTACTGGTTTGTATGATGAGTATAGACTGGGACATTGTGTCCAGATTGTGGAGGGTTGGGGCCCCAGGGAAAGGCCAGGCTTCTACATAGCCCCCTGTCCCCACTGCCCCCGAGAAATGGTTGGAGCTGTTGGTCCAGCCTGGCCAAGGAGCACAAGGGCCGCAGTCTTGGCAGGAGCCAGCAAGACTTATGTTCGATTAGCGGCCTCTTTAGGTAGCAGCAGTTCAGCTAACTCTGTTCACTCCTTGCCCCCAGGTTACCTTCAGAGCCTCCGGAGCCTCTGTCGGCCAGGCTTCCTCCCAAGCCCCGAATCCCTGGCTCCAGACCCCGTCAAGATCCCTACAAGACTGGACTGAACCACTATGCAAAACTCTTCAGCTTCTATGCTAAGATGCCTATGGAGAAGAAGGCTGTGGAGATGGTGGAGAAGTGGTGAGTCCTTGACACTTGGGGTGGGGAGAGGAGCCCCTCAGGTCATGAACAGTCTGTTTTACCCCTATATTCTTGGCAGCCTGGACAAGTATTTCCAGCATCTTGGTGACGACCTGGAGGTATTTGCTGCTCATGCTGGCCGCAAGACTGTGAGGCCAGAGGACCTGGAGCTGCTGATGCGAAGGTAAGTGGATGGAAGCAGGGAGGTGCTGGGTGTGGGAGTGCTGGCGTTGATTCTCTCATTCTCTGTCTTCCTCTGCTGCAGGCAGGGCCTGGTCACTGACCAAGTCTCCCTGCATGTGCTCGTGGAGCGGCACCTGCCCCTGGAGTACCGACAGCAGCTCATCCCTTGTGCATTCAGTGGCAACACTGTCTTCCCTGCCCAGTAGTGGCCAGGCCTCAACACCTGCCCTGTCCCTACCTGGGGCCCCTTGGCCCCACATACACTTCTAGGTTTCCTCCCTGCCCCCCAGCATCAATAAAATGTCACAAACAGAATATGCTGTGTTTTGGTGCATGTTCTGGGACCAGCCAAGCAGGGACCAACCACCCTTCCCTTGACTCCCCAGCATAACCTAGAGAATAGCATGGGTTCAGACAAACAATTTTATAACAACAGTCAGAGGTTAGCAGCACGGGAGCACTCAGGCTGCCCACGGTGGACTCAGCTTGCAGGTTCCTGCTCTCGGGGCCCCATACGCCTAACATCACTCATCTGAAGCTGTTCCAGTGCAGTCTGGAGCCTTATCACAATGCCTTCTTCCTTTTCCTCGCCCTCTTCTGGCAGTTCTGTCATGCGGAGCTGGAAGGCCTGGCTCAAATAGCTATTTAGGGTCTGCTTGTCCAGGCTGGGATCAATGTTCATCAAGGCCTCACGTACCTGGGGTAGGGTCACCTCATCGTGGCTGCCCCCACAAAGAAAGAGAGAGATAGACCTTGACCGTACTCTCTATACCCCAGACCCCAAGATGCCCTCTCCCAGGCTTGAGCAGTATGTAGTGCCCAGCAGCAAGCTCGGTGCATAGGGAGACCGGGGGCTTGAGGTGCTACTCTGTGGCCCAGCCTGTAGGACTTGCCTATGACTAAGTGAGCCTGAGGTCCCCAGGGTCACTCACAGTTCCAGGTCCAGCTTCTGCTTTAACTCCTGTAAGTATTCATCCTTTTCATCCATGTACTGTTCCCACAGCTTTTGCACAAAGGGCACGCTCTGGCCCTCCTCGTCCTGGGAAGGTTCCACAAGGCAGGGTGCGAGTACACGGGCTAGGGTCCAGCAGAGGCTAGGGCAGGACTGGGCAAGTTCCTGGGCCCCAACCCACCTCCATAAATAATATGCAGTAGTTGAGCAAGTCTGCATTGCTGCTGCTGGGATGCCAGCCCCCTGCCTCCATCAGCTCCTGAATTCTCTCGTCCTTCTTGAAGGGGAAGGTACTCTTGAGGGCAGTGCTGTAGGGAGACATGAGGGCTGACAGGCCTGGCTGATGCCTGCCTACCCATCTCCCCGCACCCCTCTGCCAGCCCCACTGGTGCTCAAAAGGGCAGAATGCACTGAGTCTCTGGCCTTTTCCCACCAGTCTCCCCTTCCCCCTGCACAGCTAGGAGCTTGGCCAGAGGTCATGCTGGGCTGAAGTTCGGGGTGGCCAACTGTTTTCTCAACTGCTCCATGGTTAGTAGCCCCTCATTCTGGCTGTCAGCACTGGTCATCTCCTTCAGCAGCTGTGCTATGTCTCCTTCTGCTTGATGTACACACTCTTTCCTCTAGGGGGGAAGCATTGACCATCTTGCTGTTTCCTAGAGGGGTGGGCATAGAGCTGGCCTATGCCGGAGACAAAAAGGGTGGAGGGCCAGGCACAAGCTTACCTTTCCCATCAAGACTGCATAGAACTGACTCATGACCTCATCGGAGTGGAAGAGCTTGGTATATTCAAAAATGGTGTAAGCCCAGGCCATGGCATCACCAGGCCCAAAGCGACACTCCAGGAAATTGAAGAAGAAATCTGGGAACTTCTGCAGGGTAGGGGGAAGACTGCTTGGTCAGCCTGCCCCACATCGGTTGGCCCTCCTCCCTGTTCCCTAGCACCTTGAGGGACACCCCCCGCCCCATGCACCAGAGGACTCAGGCAGCCACACCAGGCCAAAATGGCTAGAGAGATCTGACCTGCTCCTCAGTGATACGTTCCTTCCAGGCATCCTTGAGGAGGTTTACCACATCCTTCTTGGTTGGCTTCTTGTTCTCCACGACACCATCAAACCGAAGGAAAGGGGGGATGGATTCCCCATAACCCTGTATGGAACCATGTCAGCTTATCTCTGGGCCCCTCTGTAGCCCCACCAGCAAGCAGGGCAGAGCCCCAGATAGTTCCCCCAGAACCTCAAGTCTTCTCAGCAGCAAGGCCTGGCCATTCTGACTCTGGCCCCAGGCCTTCTGAGCCCAGGGACTCCCCTACCAGACCAGGGAAGAAGTCTTTCTCCTGGAGCAGCCCCTTGCCAATCTCCAGGAGCACATCCACCAGCTGGTCGCTGTTCTTGCCCTCGGCCAGCATTTGCCAGCGATCTCATCCTCCAGCCACCACATCTGCAGATGGGGAGAGGAGCTGGAGTCCAGACCACGCACTTGAGCAGTCCCTAGGGCTCCCATGGCCAGCATTACCTTCACACTTGGACCAGTCTGGCCACGGTGTGGCTGTGCGCTGGATCTCCTGCAGCTCGGAGTAGAACTGGTCCTGCTCCTTCAGCTCACGTGCAACTGCAGCAGCATCTTATGCTCCTTGCGGAACTCTTCATAGTCGTCTCTCAGGCTGTCCAGCTGTGGGCAGGGTGATTGGTCCTTGCTTCTCACCTGCATGGCCCTTCCCTACCCTGCCTGCCCACCAGCACCTGCTCCTGCACATCCTTGAGGGTCTTCTGCATTTCAAAGTCCCTTCTGGGCACCACGTCTCCAAAGTTGGCCTTCATGGTGTTGAGTTCCATCTGCGTGCGGGTCAGTCTTGCTGGGCCATCTTCAGAGCCACTGTTAACTTCACGGGGTCCTCCTCCCAGACACCTGCCAGGGGGCCCGCCAGCTCATGTCACCCTGCTTCTGGGGCCCGTAGCCCAGGGCAGGGTTGAGTGTCCTTTGGGGCATGTCCTAGGTCTTCCTGCTCTCCCAGCTTGGGAACCCCTGAGTCTTTCCACAGTGCTACCAGCATAGGGCTTTGAGCTTAAATAGAGAAGCCCAGGATGTGGAGTACCAGGCCTGTCCTGCCCTTAGGGAGTCTAGGCTGCTTCAGCTGCCAATGATTGTTTCCTTCGTAAACAACAAGTCTATGATTCTCAGCCAGCTCAGAAGATCCACAGACCCAGGTGGCAGCAGGAACACCTCCCATCGTGAATGAGCAGATAATAGGAGAGTTGAATGAATAGGAGTGGTGAGAGCCAGACTCCTCTCCAGCGCCTCTTCAGGGGAGAGAAACCCACCTTGGGCTTACCTGGGGACTGGGCTAGTGACATGTCTTCCCGCTGGTACCGTAGCTCATTCAGGTCTGCAATAATGATCTTACGGGCATCTTGCTCGCTGAGGTAGCGCAGATACTCCTCAGCCAAGTTCTTCCTCAGTTTGGTCACCTGTTGGGAAGAGAACAAGAAAGGTAGAAGGAGGAGGAGACTGGTCATTCCTGAGAATCCAGCAAAGTGCCAAAGCTTCCTCCTGTGGAGAAAATCTGGCAGCCAAGGAGTGGGACTCCGCTGGCATTTGGGGCCATACCAAGCCAGTGCCGAGCTGAGGAGGAGGGCAGCATGTGGAGAGAGGGGTATGGGGGGAGGTGGTGGCTCTGTATATCATTCCAGGCAGAAGGGTGGAGAGAGCTAGGGGGTCACCCCAGGGCTGAAGGCCTCAAGGTCACCCCTGGGGTGGGAGTGGGAGGGATTCAGGGAGTTGGTCACCACATTACTGCCTTTTACCTCACTCTGCAATGAGATCTTCTCCTCATTCTTCTTATCAATGAGTTTTAGCAAATTCATCTTCTCTTTCTTCAGCATGGAGATTTCATCTCTCTCCTTAGCCCTCGTGGCCAGGATCCTCTCGTTGCATTCCTTGTTCACAGTGACAAGCTTCGCCTTCAGGGGCTCCAGAGCCTGAATCTTCTCCCTCTGGTCAGCTAAGCAGGGACAGGTGGGAGAGTCCCTTTGGGGCCATGGAGGACAAACAACCAGGAGACACTGATCCTGAGGTCACAGTGAGTGGTATGTCCCTTGCAAACTCGAGGAGTCTATACATGCCTGTTCAAAGCATAACTCCTGCTTAAGTCCTTTTTGCACTTGCTTTTAAACCGGGGGCAGAGTCCCGATGAGGACCAGGGTCTCACCTATGCCCTTTACCCATACGGCCTTTAGTCCTGCAGCTGCACCATGCCCAGCACCTCCTGAGCCTGGTGAGGGAAGCCCTCTCACTTCCCAGGGGTACACCCTCCCTTCTGGGCTTCACTGTCAATAGAAAAGATGCTCTGTTTCCCACAGATACTGCCCCACCATGCTTCCCAAGAATGGGAGGTAGTCAGTTGCCCTGGGGTGCCCTATCACATGACAGTGTAAGCAAAAAGGCTAAGGAGGGCTTGGTGACCTCAAAGCCCAGTTTGTAGCTGCCCCAGCCCTGCTGCAGAACCCAGAAGGTCAGGCTAGGATCCTCTATGCCTCTTCCAGGCTGGGGCCAGGCAGGGAGGCTGCAGTCTTACCCAGAATCACCTCATATGCATTCTTGATGGAGGATAGCAATGGCTTGTATGTTTTGAAGTCCTCTATGAAAAATTCAAAGATCTCTCTGTAAGGCTGGCAAGAAAAGGGAAACTGTCACCTCCTGTCCGATGGCTGCCACCCTCAGAGGGACCTAAGTTTTTCTTTGCTTGGATTAGAAGTGTTCTAGCATGAAGCTGCCAGGCGACTCACATTCAAATAAATGCCACAGGCACCACTGGGGTCTCTCACAGTCAGGGAGCTGAGAGGCAGCTCCATCCCTCTCAGCTGCTCTCTGGTGACCTCTCCTGGTGCTGTCTCTGAGACCTGGCAGACAACTTGGGTCAGGACCTCCCCCTCTCTACCTGAGCCCCCTCTGTCTCTCCAGGCAGCCAGCCTCCTCCATGCACTGTGCTTCAGCTGGCCTCTTACCAGCACCCCTCCCCATCTTACAGCCCTGTGGGGGCAGGAGAAGGTCTAAGGCTCTAGCTTCCAATTAGAGGTATGGTTTCCTGTCCTGTTTCTGGGCCCAGTCCATCCAACATCAGGCTAACCCTGGCTTACCCTACTCGCTTCTGGTAGTCATCTGAACAGGTCTTTCGATTATGCAGAATGGTCTGGTCACTGATGTATGTGGGCCTTGGGGACAGGTGGCCACCGATGGAGAACGGACAGGACTATAAGAAGGGACAGGTGGGATTACCATGACAATATTGCTCCCCTTCCTGATGTTCCTCTCCAGGCTCCTCCTCCACTCCTGGGTTCCCCCCACCCAACATCTCTTAATATGGTCCTTTTTTTTTTTTTTTTTTTTTTTTGCGTTATGCGGGCCTCTCACTGCTGTGGCCTCTCCCGTTGTGGAGCACAGGCTCCAGACGCGCAGGCTAGGCGGCCGTGGTTCACGGGCCTAGCTGCTCCGCGGCACGCGGGATCCTCCTGGACTGGGGAACAAACCCGCGTCCCCTGCATCGGCAGGTGGACTCTCAACCACTGCGCCACCAGGGAAGCCCTAATATGGTTCTTAATTAAGACTGTGGTCCTTAGAGTTAGAGAGGGATTAGATTAAACTCTAGGGCCCCCTTATTGGTTATGTGACCACAGACTGAGCCTCAGTCTCTGCATCTGTAAAATGGAAATGGTTATGCTCCCCATTGCATTGTATTGATGTGAGAATGCAACGAGAAAGAATAGAGTGGTTTACACAGACTCAGGCACCTTCTAGGAGCTCAGTAAAGGTGAGTTCTCTTCTGTAGGTTTTTCAGTGAGTATTGAATACCTATGCTATGAAAACAGATATGAGTACTTACTGGGACCATCTCTTGCCCCCACAGCACAGTCCAGCTAAAGAGAGACAGGGGAGGGCAGGCCCAGCGTCAAGCCTGGACTCTCAGGCAGGACTGCAGAGATGCAGCAGGGTGACCCGTGGACCCCGGGAGGAGACTAGGCTCTACCCCCTGGGGGAGGGGGAGGGGAGAGGTGGTAGGGCCCTGAAGCAGTGGGATCTCATTTTGAATCTTGAGCAGGGGTATGGGGTAGTAGTATTTTATGAGCTTGTTTTTTCAACTTTTTATGAAATACTCAAAACATGAGAGAAAAAAATGACTCTCTTACCCAGTGAAGCCTACTTCTAGGGTTCATCCATTCAGTCATTCATTTGTTCATCAAACATTTCTGGGTCCATAGCACATGCCAGCCCCTGCTGGGTTCTGGGACATGAAGGAAGCTGGGGGTATGATGGAAGTGGGACGACAAATGAACTGATAAGCAGGTAGTAACTGAAGCTGATGCAGGTCACAGGAGTGTGGGGGCCCTGACTGGAGGGTGCCAGGGGAGGCTGATCCTCTTAGAGGAGGAAGTGATGATGTCAGTGATTTCAGTAAAGCTTGAGTGACTTCATGGGAGGAGCTGAGGTCACTCTGGAAGAGAGTGATGTGTCAGGGGAGGTGGGGGGGTGCACAAAGACTGCCTGGGTAGCACCAATACCTCAGGGAAACAGCAGGAGTTTTGAAGGGCTATGAACAGGGGCCAATGCCCAAGGAGGGCAGGCTCGCTGAGGCTGAGGTCTGGGCTGGCCAGTGCAGAGGGGACAGAGATGAAGCAGCAGCTTCATGCCTAAGGGCAGTTCTCAAAGCCTTACTTGTGACTATGAAAAAATCAGAAAACTGCTAAGTGTCTAAAAACAGAAGATTCTTATACAGGCATGAAATGTTTACAAAGAGGCTTAACATGCACTATATCTCTAAGGGTTAAGTAAAGCCTGAAATTAGAGAATAAGCACAACCAGGTAAGATGAAAAACCAGAAAAGATGGAGGAAATAATCCAAAAGGTTATCAGTAATTATTCTCCAATCATAGGCCCATGGGTGCTTATGTGTCTGTAATCGTGTAGTTTTCAAATTTTTCTACAATGCACATAAGTTACTTTGAAATTTAAAAGAACATTGAATTATTGAATTCAGTATTAAAGCCTCCTCTGTGGAAGGCCCTGAGCCCAGCGTCCAGGTTCTTCTGAGATGGAGAGAGACTAGGCCTACCACCCATGTCCCACACATCCAGGTTCTAGGAGTCCTTCCAGGCTAATGGTAACTGGCTCCTGACCCTCTTAATGTGGAAAATGCTACTGTTTCCTTGGGCTCTTCTTTGCATTCTATTAGTTCTACCTATTTTTTTCTCAATCTTGCAGTCATTCATCCTTTCCCTAAATATTTTGGAAAGTACATAGTAAGCCTTGTTGCTAGGTCCCAGGGAGGACTCCAGCCTCTTGCAAGGGTCTAGGTTGACCTATCTCTGTACTTCCAGAACTGATGGCATCATACTTCACACTCTTCATAGTCTTTTTTTTTTCTAATTGAAGTATAGTTGATTTACAATGTTGTGTTAACACTCTTCATAGTCTTAAGTAACACTCAGCAAATATTGTGGAATAAATATTTAAGGGAACACAATAATTTAGCTGGATGCAAGGCATAATAAAAACAAAAACGCTACTTATTGGGTGTATATGTTCACACGTGCTTTCCCTGGGTCCAGAATGCTCCAGCTTGACTATTCAACGTTAGCATCTCAGGGGTTCTCCCTGATACTCTTCCCAATCCCAGCGCCCACACTTCCCCGTCATCACACCCCCATCTTCTCTCAGAAACACAGACTTTGTCTGTCTTGTTTACCACTGTATCCACAGTGCCTGGCACACAGTGGGAATCAATAAATATTTGTTGAATAGATAAAAACACGGCGGGGGAAGAGAGATGATGAAACAGAATTGTAGAGTTTAAAGCCCTCCTATCAAAATAAGCTACATCAAGCAGAGAAAGGTAAAAGACAAATACTAAGAGTAATACGGTTGATAATGACAGGTGAGTAGATTTATACATAAATTAAATGGAAATAAAGAAGGACAATCTTTTAATATATACAAAAAACTAATCGTAGGCCACAGATAAGGTGTTAACACATTTTTAAATGAGAAACTGTATACCTTGCATTTCCTGATATAATACAATGAAATAAGAACTGATAATATAAACATACCTCTAAAACACTTAACCATTTACAGAAATTTTAAAATAAATTAATATTTTTCCCGACCCATTTATTACTTAAGGTAAAAATACAACATGTTTTAGAAATGTTAAAATTACATGTTCAAAATGTTTGGGATATGATCAGAAAAGCACTCACAAGTTTTTAATTGCTTAAAATCCTTTCACTATCTAAAAATAAATGGTTGGGGCTTCCCTGGTGGTGCAGTGGTTAAGAATCCGCCTGCCGGGCTTCCCAGGTGGTGCAGTGGTTGAGAGTCCGCCTGCCGATGCAGGAGACACGGGTTCGTGCCCCGGTCCGGGAAGATCCCACATGCCGCAGAGCGGCTGGGCCCATGAGCCATGGCTGCTGAGCCTGCGCGCCCGGAGCCTGTGCTCCGCAACGGGAGAGGCCACAACAGTGAGAGGCCCACGGAGCGCCAAAAAAAAAAAAAAAAAGAATCTGCCTGCCAATGCAGGGGACACGGGTTTGAGCCCTGGTCCAGGAAGGGCCCAATGCCGCGGAGCAACTAAGCCCGTGTGCCACAACTACTGAGCCTGCGCTCTAGAGCCCGTGAGCCACAACTACTGAAGCCCGCACACCTAGAGCCTGTGCTCTGCAACAAGAGAAGCCACCGCAACGAGAAGCCTGCGCACCACAACGAGGAGTAGCCCCCACTCACCATAACTAGAGAAAGCCTGCGTGTAGCAATGAAGACCCAACGCAGCCAATAAATAAATAAATAAATAAATCGTTCTGATGAACCTAGGGGCAGGACAGGAATAAAGACACAGACATAGAGAATGGACTTGAGGACACGGGGAGGGGGGAAGGGTAAGCTGGGAGGAAGTGAGAGAGTAGTATTAACGTATGTACACTACCAAATATAAAATAGCTAGCTAGTGGGAAGCAGCTGCATGGCACAGGGAAATCAGCTTAGTGCTTTGTAACCACCTAGAGGGGTGGGATAGGGAGGGTGGGAGGGACGTGCAAGAGGGAGGGGATATGGGGATATTTGTATACATATAGCTGATTCACTTTGTTATACAGCAGAAACTAACACAACATTGCAAAGCAATTACACTACAATAAAGATGTAAAAAAATAAAATAAAATCCTTTCACTATTAGGAAAGAAAGCCTCAAGCCCGTGGTTGCCTGAAAAGGAAAAAATATAATAAAAAAATTTAAACATAGGAAATAAAAGTAGAAATAGATAAACTAGAAACATGAGAAGCCAAACTTAAAAATCAAGACAGAAAAAGTTTTTTTTGAAAGACTATTAAAATTGATGTAATTTTTATAAAAGGACAAAGTAACCCTGGAAGACACCTGGGAAGTTGTCAAAGAAGCACCTAACCATGGTCAGTTAATAAGTTTTTCACATTTTCAAGAGGCCCGGCCAACAAGCACATGAAAAGATGCTCAATATCGTTAATTATTAGAGAAATGCAAATCAAAACTACAATGAGGTATCACCTCACACCAGTCAGGATGGCCATGATTAAAAAGTCTACAAATGTGCTCGCTTCGGCAGCACATATACTAAAATTGGAACGATACAGAGAAGATTAGCATGGCCCCTGCGCAAGGATGACACGCAAATTCGTGAAGCGTTCCATATTTTTAGTGCACACCTTAAAAAAAAAAAGTCTACAAATAATAAATGCTGGAGAGGGTGTGGAGAAAAAGGAACCCTCCTACACTGCTAGTAGCAATGTAAATTGGTGCAGCCACTATAGAGAACAGTATGGAGGTTTTTTTAGAAAACTAAAAATAGATTTGCCATATGATCCTGCTCCTGGGCATATTTCCAGAGAAAATTGTAATTCGAAAAGATACATGCACCCCAATGTTCATAGCAGCACTATTTACAATAGCCAAGACATGGAAGCAACCTGAGTGTTGATCAACAGATGAATGGCTAAAGAAGATGTGATACATATATACAATGGAATACTACTCTCAGTCATAAAAGAGAATGCAATAATGCCGTTTGCAGCAACATGGATGGACCTAGAGACTATCATATTAATGAAGTAAGTCAGAGAAAGACAAATATATAATATCACTTATATGTGGAATCCAAAAAAATGATACAGGGCTTCCCTGATGGCGCAGTGGTTAAGAATCCGCCTGCCAAAGCAGGGGACACGGGTTCGAGCCCTGGTCCAGGAAGATCCCACATGCCGCGGAGCAACTAAGCCCGTGTGCCACAACTACTGAGCCTGCGCTCTAGAATCCACGAGCCAGAACTGCTGAGCCTGCATGCCACAACTACTGAAGCCCATGCGCCCTAGAGCCCATGCTCTACAACAACAGAAGCCACCGCGATGAGAAGCCCACGCACCACAAGGACGAGTAGCCCCTGCTCGCCGCAACTAGAGAAAGCCCACACAGCAACAAAGACCCAACACAGCCATAAATAAATAAATAAATTTATTAAAATAAAATAAAATAAAATTTAAAAATGATACAAATTAACTTATTTACAAAACATAAATAGGCTCACAGACACAGAAAACAAACTTATGGTTACCAAATGGGATAGAGGGGTGGGTGTGGGGGAGATAAATTAGGAGTTTGGGATTAACATATACACACTACTATATATAAAACTGCTAAAAAACAAGGACCTACTGTATAGCACAGGGAACTATATTCAATATCTTGTAATAACATATAATGGAAAAGAACCTGAAAAAGAATATATATATATTATATATGTGAAGCTGAATTACTTTTCTGTACACTTAAAACTAAGACAACATTGTAAATTAACCAGACTTCAGTTAAAAACAAACAAAAAAAAAACAAGAACAAAAACAAAGGGAGACTAGCCTTGAAAATTTCCTGAGCAGACAAAACCAGTTTAGTCATAGAAGTAAAGCTTGATTTAGCTTATTTTGGGAGACTTAAAAAATAAAAAAGGCCCATCTTCGTGCTCTGTCTGCCGTTTCTGTAAAGAGAAAAAAGTCACCCTACTCTGATTGCTGGGAATATGCTGCTTTCTTGTCCTGGTTGTTAACAGCTGGTAAGGCCTCCACAGGCGCGTGGTTGGGAGGCGGCGTTCCCGGGAGCTCCGTGCTCTCTGCTTCCGCCTGCAGGTGAAAACGGGAAGGGCGGCCCCGGGGGTCGGGGGCGGCAGGAGGCAACAGCGTCCTCTGGTGGTTGAGAACGGTGTTACTGCCGCCGCGCAGAAGAAAGGGAGTGAAAGAGCCTGGCCCCAGGTCCACTGAGTAGGTGGCCCAAGTAATCGGATCTTTCGGGACTGTGGCTGCGCTTGGTCTCCGCTTAGAGTCCACACTACCCCTTTCCCTCCCTGATGTCAGGGTCCCCATGTTTGAAGTCCCCAGCCTCACAAAGTGTACAGCTCATGTGTCCCCAGATCCTCCAGACAAGACATACTTGCACAAAGAAAACCACCACAGCCCACAGTTCTCCACTGTGAGCTGGAGTTATAAATTTGCTCAGATGTGTTTTTTCACCTGTAAGATTTGGACAATGGCTGTTTGCTTGTTAAATAGTAATAACAATCTTATGATCATATCAACGAAAGCCCCCAAATCTTAATAACACAGTATTTTTTTTTTAATTTCAGGGAAGAATATTCTTCCTTTTTTTTTTTTTTTTTGCCACGCCACGTGGCATGCAGGAATGTAGGATCTTAGCTCGCAGACCGGGAATGGAACCTGTGCCCCCTGTAGTGGAAGTGTGCAGTCCTAACCACTGGACTGCCAGGGAATTCCCCAGCGTTCATTTTTATTTTTATTTTATTTATTTATTTATTTAAGGTAAGAAGTGGATTTATTTAGAGAGAAACACACTCCACAGACAGAGTGTGGGCCATCTCAGAAGGTTAGAAAGGCCTTGGGAGAAACACACTCCACAGAGTGCAGGCCATCTCAGAAGGTGAGAAAGGCACCAGGGTATGGGGTTGTTAGTTTTCACAGGGGTGGGTAATTTCATAGGCTAATGAGGGGGAGGAATATTCCAGCTATTTTAGGAAGGGCCGAGGATTTCCGGGAATTGGGCCACCACCCACTTTTTGATCCTTATGGTCGGTCTTGAAACTGTCACGGCATCTGTGGATGTCATTTAGCTTGCTGATGTGAGCATATACTGAGGCTCAAGGTCTAGTGGAATTCGACTTGTCCGCCATCTTGGACCCATTGGGTTCTAATCAATTTATGTCATGTCCTCGGGCTATGTCATTCTTTCAAAGGTTGTGCCCTGCCCCCTTCCTTCCTGTTTCATTCCCCCCTCAGAGATTTTACTCCATATGCTTATGGGAAGCAGAGGGCGATAGTCTGCCTTCTGTAACTGCTTCCAGGCTGAGTAGGGGCATCAACCCTGTCTGTCAGGCAGTAAAAATCTCTGGATGCCTGATCTAGGGGCCCCAGGGGCAGGGCAGCTCCTTGTTTTAAGTCGGTATGGGCTGGAATCCTCAGATAGCCAGCATCTTTAATGTGGAACTGTTGTAATTGTTTCCGTAGCCTTTCTGTGAATCTCCTTGATGATGAAGCACTTTTTTTTAACAGCATCGGAGTACAAAAATATAGTTTTAGATGCTATCCCTTCCAAGGTAGTCTCCCAACCCGGTGTTAGTTCCCTGGAAGTCGCAAAGAGATGGCACAGAAGACGTCCCCAACGGTGTTGATGATGAACAGGAGTTGGTCTAGCTATAAGCTTATCACTGTCCCTTCGTGGTCACCAGCTGAAACTGTGCACGTCAAATACAGACTTGAACCCACGTGGCCGGGACTCAAACCCGGTCAAAACCCTGATTGGGACTCGAACCCTCGTGGCTGGGACTCAGACCCGGCCAATACCCACAGTCTTCCAACTGAGATCACACACCTGGTTTCAGGACTTAATGAAACTCAGGTTCTTGATGTCTCATTGCAGAAAGAATTCAGTGAGAGACAAAGTGATAGGTAAGAAGTGGATTTATTTAGAGAGAAACACACTCCACAGACAGAGTGTGGGCCACCTCAGAAGGTGAGAAAGGCCCCCAGCATTCATTTTTATATAACTTTAAAGAACATGAATGGAGGGAGAACCTGTCGTGAGGCTGGTAAAGAGTCTCTACTTCCAGTGCAGAGCCAACAGCACAATGGAGAAACATCCTTTACTACTACTGTCTTCACATACATACAGCAATTTTGGCGCACATATGCCAGCCACTCAAGTACCACATCAGGCACTGTGGCCGTAAAGACAAAAAGATATAGTCATACCTCTGAAGGACCTTGACAGGTCTGGTGGGACCATCCCAGCACCCAGCAGAATGCCTGGCTCATGGCAGGCTGGATGAAGAAATGAGGTCCACTCCAGAATGCTGCGTTGAAGGGGAAGGTTATCTGTGGGCAGGAGCTGAGTCCCTCTCTGCTCGGGGAGGTCTGAGAAGCCTGTTCCGGTGAGGTGCAGCAAGTGTGCACGTTCCCCCACCCCAGAGCCTGCTGGGCCTGGCCTCTGAGCTACACTCCCCTAACTGGGGAGAAGCCGCTTGGTGGGGCATGGTTCGGGTGGGTGGTGCTTTTGCGTTGCAGAGAGGGAGGCAGAAAGGATCTGGGGATCAAAATTTAGGGTTCCAACAGGACACGGCCACTAACCTGCAGCATCTTCCGTTTCTGAGAAAGCTTGCGTTTCTGGGTATTCTTGGCTTCTGTGAGGAAGGAATCATCTACGATCACTCCTAAAGGTTGCAAGTGTCCTCTGCACAGAGGAGAAGGAAGTGGTGGGTGACAGAGCCTTGAGTGGGGAGTACACTTCCACTCTTCCCAGAGCCACAAGACTTCCTTTCCCCTCAGAGCCAGGCTCTGGGTCTTCCCAGTCCTGCCTCCAGATTCCCAGAGGTGCTGCCAACAAGCTCCTGGCTTGGGGCCCAAACCATTTTCCCACATTTCCAAAAACCTTCTCCTCATCACTAGAGTCTCAACAACTCCTGCAGTGGCAGGACACCCTCACCATGAGCCCAGAGAACCCTGCAGGCCTATACTTCCCTTCAGTGTTTAGCTGTGGCTGTGATGACAGTTCCATGCATGTGACAGCCACATTCTGGGGGTGTGATACCAAAAGCAGGTGCTATAGGACAAGAAGTACAGGGTCTGGGGTCCAAGAGCCAGGGTGGGAGTCTTGAGCCTCTACTTACTGGCTGATAGGGCCCAGAGGCTGACATCTGTGTTTCCAATAGGGACCCCCTTGGGCAAGTCATTTTACTTCTTTCAGCCCAGTTTCCTCACAAGGAGGTGGAGACAGTTCTTGCATTTTCTATCTCACAATGTTGTGAAGTTTAAATAAGAGTAAAAGAGACATGCAAAAATAACCTGTAGGGACTTCCTCGGTGGCGCAGTGGTTAAGAAGCCACCTGCCAATGCAGGGGACACAGGTTCAAGCCCTGGTACAGGAAGATCCCACATGCCGCAGAGCTACTAAGCCCGTGAGCCACAGCTACTGAAGCCCACACACCTAGAGCCCGTGCTTTGAAACAAGAGAAGCCACCGCAATGAGAAGCCCACGCACGCAATGAAGAGTAGCCCCTGCTCGCCACAACTAGAAAAAGCCAGCACGCAGCAACGAAGACCCAACTCAGCCAAAAAATTAAAAAATTAAAAATTAATTAATTTAAAAAAATAACCTGTAAACTGCAAGGAGCTGAAGAGATATTAACTGTGACGGCAAGATGTGCGAAAAGTGGATCATAAGGAACCACTTTTAACTCTTAGGCCTCTTGGGGAGAGCCATCATTGCTCAAGCTAGGAAGGCATTTGGGGGTCTAGAGGGAGGGCTGCCTGTGGGCAGTCAGACTTAGGTGGAACAAAAGGAAGAAGTGATCCCAGTAATCCATGGTGGCGGCGGGTGGGAGTGATTTATGCCGCCAGATAGACTTGTGTCTTCATTCCCCTTGCTAGCTGGTGGCCTTGGGTATGCTGTTTAACCTCTTGAAGCTCAGTGTCTTTGTCCATAAAACTGAGACAAGGATTACCCAAACTCCAGGGAAGTTGAGAGCAGTGACGTGATCCCAGTTGGGAAACCCTCTCCTGCAGTGTTCTTCAGTCCTACTTCATGGAGCAGTGACACCCCAAACTTCAGTTCTCTATTGTCTCTATTGCCCGCATGCTGCAACTACTGAAGCCCATGAGCCACAACTATTGAGCCTACATGCTGCAACTACTGAAGCCCGTGCGCCTAGAGCCCGTGCTCCGCAACAAGAGAAGCCACCGCAATGAGAAGCCTGTGCACCGCAACGAAGAGTAGCCCCCGCTCGCCGCAACTACAGAAAGCCCGTGTGCAGCGATGAAGACCCAAAGCAGCCAAAAATAAATAAATTTAAAAACACCTGGTAGAGTCTATACACTTATCCAAAAAGCTTAGGATGCTTCTTTAGTATTATATTAAATATTTTACACCAATTCTCAGAGAGGAATGGGAAATAGATTATCTATATTTCTACTTCAAAGGTGGAGAAAACTCAGTTATTTAACTAATGGCAAGCAGTGGGTTTGACAGGGGGTAAATCCTGGTATTGAGTGAAGTCAAGCTACTGAGTTCCATCCACAAATCTACTGTGCCAGGGATGTGAGGCTGAAAGGAGAAAGCCAATGGGGAGGGGAAACCTGCCACAGGAAAATGCACAATTCAAAGGTCTCTTTATTTTTTTGGCTACACTGTGTGGCTTGCGGGATCTCAGTTCTCCGAGCAGGGATTGAACCCAGGCCCTCGGCAGTAAGAGTGCAGTGTCCTAACCACTGGACCACCAGGGAATTCCCTCAAAGTCCCTTTTAGAGGGTCCTGCTGACATTCATGTAGTGCTAAGGTCTTGCCCATGCTTCATCATCCTGGCCCTGCTCTAAGGGGAGCTGGAGGAGGACACCCACACTATTCCTCTAAGGGAAGCAGTGAGCTTGGCCCAATATACTATACACCACTGAATACTGGTGAATGAAGAATATAGGCAGGAATGATGTTTTGTACTGTCACTAAATTCAGCATCAGCAATTACATTGTGCTTCCTTCTTAAAATACATTGGGATTCTCTTTCTGAGTCTGTTTCATATCCCTTTCAAACATGATTGCAGTTTCCTAAATCATTCGTGTGTTGGGTAACAACACTCTTT